TACAATGATACTAGCCAAGTGTTGGGGGAAAAAAGGATAGTCAAATCAATAGATATAAGAAAGCTATCAACCAATTCAAAGCCTCAGTAAACACAACAGCCATTGAAACCAATGACTTGAGTGATGGAGCATCATGCTGATGAAACGAAAGAGATTTCGTCTATTTTCCTGGTTATTTAATTTGGATAGCCTTCCCTAAATCCTTAATCAAGTTGATATAGTACTCTGCATTGACGTTTTAGTCATTTTGAATCCCCCCCCCCGCAAATGAGGCCATTACTTTCAATGCGGATGAAACCACATTGCCCTTTTTGGGGAAGGTAAGAAGTAGTGTTTCTATGGCATGGGATGTCGTTTTGTCTCAGACTTAAAGGCATGAACCCAACACTCATCCTGATTAAAGAAACTTTCAAGGAAATCAGCTGGATCTACCTGAGACAATGTAAGATTTTCAGGAGCTGTAATCGGCATTGTAGGCATTTGACCAGGTGTCAGAAAACGTGCAATAACGCCCTTTGCAAAAGCCCTCGGGCATGACCGCCTTAACCAGGTATTGAACTCACATTCTTTGAGTCCCGTCACTGGATAAAGACGTTAGTTAGATCCAGTGACAAGACCTAAAGAGTGGCTAAGACAGTGGATAACTTGGAGAGGGTAATTAACAGGAGATAACTGATAATTGACATCCATTAGACATGGCACGTGGAACTAGAACAGTCTATCCCAGCGAGCGAAATAAAGGGTTCAGTTCGACATTCCGACCAAATGAATAAGGCCGGAGTATACAACGGCCGAAAGGTTGTAATAAATATGGCGACAAAGATGAGGACAATAGTCCAAATAATGTAAATAGATATCAAAAGGGTTGATAAGTGCATCGCTAGAAAACCGGATTCAAATTTCAAGCTCTTCATTGTTCATCTTATTTTAGGCTCTGTTCTTCCAATAAAAGACAAAATCAAATAATTGTTTTAAACATTCCGTTATTATATGTCAATAGAAAAAATTATTTCTTTTTAATTATTTTCAAGATTCTTATTTTCTCCCAATGATAACATTCAAAAACAATTTCTAACGATTTTCTCATTCTAGTCTCGACTTTATTTATTATTGAATGAAGGACATTCGTTAATCACCCTAATGAAAAAACAAAAATGCCAGAGACGATGAATATTGATTTTATGTTTAAAATATGGAAAGAACAAAAGAGATAGCGATCATTCCAAATAAATCTGAGAACCTTATTCCTGGGAAAAGAATTGCAATTATTTTATTAAAAAAGAAATACGAGGGTAGCCTAAAAGTTTCATAGTTAGGTTATAATGTAACGGTATTAGAGCTGAGAAATTTTGCACGATTTGATAAGAACTGTTATTATTAATAACTAAATTGTTTCTTTCCAAGGACGAGAATGGGTTGATACATTTATAGGCTGACTATTAAGGAGTGACACTACAACTGCGAAATCGTGTATGCATTAATTTCAACTCTTTATACTAATAACTGCATTGTTTCTTTCCAGTTTCCAGGGTGGGATGAAAATGTTATAGGCTGACAATTAAAGAGTGATGCTAGAGCAATGAAATTTTACATACCTTAATTACAAATCATCTGATTAATAACTGCATTGTTTCGAGTGTAGACTGAAAATTTTATAGGCTGGCTAGGAAGGAATGGTGCTAACCATATGAGGATGGATTGAAACCCTTATAAGCTGACTATGAAGGAAGGATGATACAACTGCAAAATCTTGTATGCATTAATTTCAATTCTTCATTATATTAACTGCATTGTTTCTTTCCATGTACGAGGGTAGACTGAAAATTTTATAGGCTGGCTATGAAGGAATGGTGCTTACGCAGTTAGGGTAGGTTGAAACATTTATAGGTTGACTATGAAGGAGTGATGCCACAACTGCAAAATCTTGTATGCATTAATTTCAACTCTTCATATTAATAACTGCATTGTTTCTTTCCGTGTACTAGAGTAGGCTGAAAATGTTATAGACTGAATATGAAGGAACTCTGCTAACGCTGTGATGGTGAGTTGAAACACTTATAGGATAGCTATAAAGGAGTGTTGCTAGAACTGCGAAATGCATTATTTTCAACTTTTCATATTAATAACTGCATTGTTTCTTTCCAGATTCGAAGGTAATCTGAAAAGTTCATAGCCTGCCTATAAAGTAGAGATGCTAGAACCATGACTTGCATTCATCATTTTCAACTCTTATTAATAACTGCATTGTTTCTTTCCATGTACGATGGTAGGCTGAAAATGTTACAGGCTGGCTATGAAGGAATGGTGCTAACGCTGTGAAATATTGCATGCATTATTTTCAACTTCTCTTATTAATAGATGCTTTGTTTCTGTCAATGTACGAGGGTGAACTGAAAATATTCTTTGCTGACACTGTAGGAGTTTATGCTAGTGCTGTGAAATCTTGCATGCATTAATTTCGATTCTTCGTAGTAATAACTGCATTGTTTCTTTCCAGGCACGAAGAAATGTTATAGGCTGTCTATGAAGGAATGGTGCTAACGCTGTGAAATATTACATGCATTATTTTCAACTTTTATTAATAACTGCATTATTTCTTTCCAGGCACGGGGGTAGGCTGAAAATGTTATAGGCTGACTATGAGATAATGTTGGTAGAGTCATGAAATCTTGTATGAATTAATTTCAACTCTTCTTATTAATAACTGCGTTGTTTCTTTCGAAGTACGTTGGTCGGTTGAAAATGTTATAGGCTGATTATAAAGGAATGGTGCTTATGCTGTGAAATCTTGCATGCATTATATTCAACTCTTCTTATTGATAACGGTGCTGTTCCTTTCCGGGTACGATGGTAGGCTGAAAACGTTCGTGGGCTGACTATGAGGGAATGATACTAGAGCCATGAAATCTTGTACGGATTATTTTTAAGTCTTCTTATTAATAACTTGCTTGTTACTTTCCCGGTACGAACGTAGGCTGAAAATATTATAGGCTGACTATGAAGGAATAATGCTAACGCTCTGAACTCTTGCATGAATTATTTTTAACTCTTATTAATAACTGTATTGTTTCTTTTCAGGCAGGATGGTAGGCTGAAAATGTTATAGGCTGACTATGAGGGAATGTTGGTAGAGTCATGAAATCTTATATGAATTAATTTCAACTCTACTTATTAATAACTGCGTCGTTTCTTTCGAAGTACGTTGGTCGGCTGAAAATGTTATAGGCTGATTATGAATCTTGGATGCATTAGTTTCAATTGTTCTTATTGATAACTGCATTGTTTCTTTCCGTTTACGACGATGAGCTGAAAAGTCGGGCTATGGAGGGCTGCAAGCGCTGTGAAATATTGCAGGCATTAATTTCAACTCTCCTTATTCATAACTTAATTTTTTTCTTCCTGTTTAAGTGACACCTGCCTTTTCAAAGATGACTACAAATGTAACGATTAAACGACTCCTATTTTAAAAAAATGGCCGATGGAAAATGTTCTCATGGAGTAGATCGTTTTGACAGCTTTCATGAACAACTTACTCGAGGTAATCAGCACGACAGTACATGACAATCGATATTGCATGTACATTTTTGATGGTTAACTGACTGGAAATCATGTTTTCTGAAGTGATTTCCACATGCGATAATTGCGAGAAAAGAAACTGTTAGCATAGAACATACGGTTATATATAACCAACTCAACTATAAATTAAGAAACACGTTGTCTGTCTATTACTTCGGTTATATTCGTAAAAATTTCGGTAACATAGCGAAAAGCTCACCCGAACAATTACCATGACAGTATTTGTAGTTAAAAAGCACAGGGAAGCAACTTTACGGCGGTCGGACATTGAATGAAGATTTGATAGCAGGACAGGACCCATAATATTGCTGATTCTTTTTGGGGCTTTATGAAAGCTCTGCAAACATATAGTAAGAGAGCTGGACCATATGTGGTAGCAATATTCTAAACGTGAGCTAATGGTAGTCTTATAGATATGTAGCATAAATTCTGTCGAGAAAGATGTCTAGCTCTAGACAGAAAACTATCTTTCTTACTATCTTTTCTGGCAATAGATTCGATGTAGTCTTTCCGCTTCGTGTCAACCGGAAAGGTTAGACCAATTAGGCAAAGGGTGTAACTCTGCTGGAGTTTAGCATCAGCCATGCTGATGGAAGCCAGAAAGCCACGTCTGAGATGATTAATAGAGAGGAGTTTACTTTGGGTGTCGTTGAAATTAAGAAACCATTATTTCCCCCTGTTAACAAAAAAGCATGAGCCACCAATTTCAACCATATCAGATTTACTATCGAGACAGCAGTTTGAGCGTTTTACTGTTGAACCGCAAGTTCTATTCTAACAGTTTCTTTTCTTTCATATGTCCGATATAGTCTTTCTCTGCCACCTAGAATGATCGAAGCTTTTCCTCCTGAATACTGATCATTTATTGATCTTTCCCATGACTAATGCCTTCTCTTTTCTCTTCTAATATTGTGAACACCCTTTCGTTTCATTAATTGGGGCGAGGTGATTAATATTGAAATTACGTTTTAAATCACTCCAATTGAGCGGGAATCTCTATAGATTGTTCCAACGCTCAGTTTATTGTAGTCTGATTATATTCAGGGATATATTAAAAGTCGAATAGAATATGTTCAAGAAATCTTACAAAATATTCCACTTTGTAAAAGCATTGTCCACCCAGCCTAACAATATTTCATTATATCTGAAATACACCGTGCAGGCTGGCCAAGAATCTTCAATCGTTAAATAGACTAAATCAATGCGGTTATCATTACAGACGGAAGTCAGATCATAAGGTGAATTGCGAAGATGCAAGGTATGGATAATGCAGCTATTAGGCAACAGACTTTCAGGTAAAGAAGGCATGGAAGATGTGCGTCGCGTTTATTGTATAAATTCTATGAAAGAGGAAATGAGAGCTATCAGAAAAGTCGGATGAAACTGCTTGCATTTTAACTTGTACTGTGTTCCAAATATTTAGTATGGGGGAACAATCGACCAAAGACATAGGTGTCTATCTATCGATATGTCTATCCATTTTTGAAAGGATTATTTTTATTGGCTACAAGTATTTCAGTTGCTATCGCAGTTTTATTTTATTTTCTTGTATGGTGAAATTAATAAAAAAAAAAAAAACCTGCCTAGATTGAGAAGTCTTATTAAGGAGAGATTGTGTTTAGGAATTGATTTTGTATCAGTATTTTTTGTATAAGGAAAAACAGGTTCAATTTCTTGTCGAAGATATACATTTTCTTTTTCAGGATTTCTCTATTTAGTGCGGTTTTTATTAATTTCATTATTTATATATATCTTTATTCGTTTCTTTCTTTCCTTCCGTGAATCCGTCTCTGTCAGGGTATCTATCTACCACGTTAAAAAGGCCTTGTGCCACATGACACCCTCGTGGGGGGGTGACTGAATATTGTCAGGGTATCTATCTATCTATCTATCTATCTATCTATCTATCTATCTATCTATCTATTTCTGCCAGTCCAGCGATATCAGAATAATACATTAGGCATTAGTTTGTACCTACCTCGTTAGATAATATGCATGTTTGTATGTATGTATGTATCCAAGGTGTTAGTATGACTGTCAGTCTGGTTCGGAGTGAACGACTATCGGCTCACCTAGATTCTTCATAACACTATGTATATTATGCCTATTGAGAGGCGTAGTACACATAGTGTTAGGAAGAGTTCATACTTTAGTTATAGGTTATGACCCATGACACTATCTATCTATCTATCTATCAATCTATCTATCTATCTATCACATTCCAGCTATATCAGAATAATACGATAGGCATTAGTTTGTACCCTGCAATCTATTTGTCAAGCCAGCAACTTTTTGTGTTATTCTGTACTCACCTTGCTAGATAAGTATCTATCTATCTATCTATCTATCTATCTATCTATCTATCTATCTATCTGATTCTTTTCGTAGATATCTGACTGGTTCTCCCTCCCTCTCTCTCTCTCTCTCTCTCTCTCTCCTTATCTATCTATCTATCTATCTATCTATCTATCTATCTATCTGATTCTTTTCGTAGATATCTGACTGGTTCTCCTCCCTCTCTCTCTCTCTCTCTCTCTCTCTCTCCTTATCTATCTATCTATCTATCTATCTATCTATCTATCTATCTATCTATCTATCTGATTCTTTTTCGTAGATATCTGACTGGTTCTCCTCCCTCTCTCTCTCTCTCTCTCTCTCTTATCTATCTATCTATCTATCTATCTATCTATCTATCTATCTATCTATCTGATTCTTTTCGTAGATATCTGACTGGTTCTCCTCCCCTCTCTCTCTCTCTCTCTCTCTCTCCTTATCTATCTATCTATCTATCTATCTATCTATCTATCTATCTATCTAATCTTACATTCTAAATAAGAGAAAATTATTTTACATGGTTAAAAGTAAGTGAAACATCATTTTTTATTAGAAACTTTATTATGAGAAAAAAGCATTTTATGATTAAATTTTGCTATCGCTAAAATATACTCCTTTAGCCTTCATTACTGCAGCAAATCTGTTTAGCATTCGTTGCAAAAGACACTCAAAGTTTATTTTTTTAATTGATTCCATTCTTTCTTTAATGACTCTAAGAGCTATTTTTCTTTTCTTTTTTTCACTCATCTGTCAAGTTCCTCTCATTCTAATTCTGGTGGCCTCTCCAAACATTTGAGTTGTAGTATATATATATATATATATATATATATATATATATATATATATATATATATATTAACATTTCACCCCTAGCAAGGCGGGACGCCACTAGCAGGCAAGGGGTTACATAGGATTTGGAGCGAGAGCAGATAGGAATGATAGAAGAAAGGATGAGGAGAGGGATAGTGGATAAATCAAGGCAAATGGTGATGTCGATTGACATTACATTTGAATAGTTGGAGATTATAGCTCTCAGGGAAACTGGAATAGGGATGGGAGTTCCACAGGCTAGAGGTGCGAGATATAAAGCTAATGGAGTAGAAGAGGCGACTACATTTAACAGTTTCGACAGTGAAAGGGTGAGAGTGGGATGTCAGCCTCGTAGGGCGCTTGAATTCCTGAAGTCTGGGAACCAGCGAAAGCAGCCCATCGGAGCAATTACCATGAAAGTATTTGTAAAAAAGACAGAGAGAGGCGACGGCATGTCTGTGAGAGTGCGACTGCAGGAAAGATTCCAGATCAGGGCCAATTATATTGCATATCCGAATATGTAATATCGCACATTATGTAATGGGGGTTAATAAAATAGCGCTCGATACCTTATATGTAACTTAGCTATAATCTATATATCAATAAATATACATCTTTATGCTAACCGGTATCCTAGTATAGACGACATCGGAATCTCCTTGCATAGCTTCTGGTCGGCTTGGTGAATGATGCCATAATCCTTGCCTTCAGTTCATCTTTAGTGTTACAAGGAGACTTGTTGGTATTTCGCTCAAATGCACACAATCGCATAATAATCAAGGGCGGGTTCAGTCTGGGGATTTACGTGGACAGATGTAACGGGTGACGTGGTCGCAGAATTTGTCTGGCAGCCATTACTGGGTTCTTCTGCTTCTGTAGCATGGTGCAGGTTTTCCTTGACAGACATAGCGTCTTCCAGCAACCACTCTCTTGACTCAGAGTAGGACTACCTGCTGAAGGTACTTGATGTATCGTCTACGTTGAGTCTGAGGCCGTCTGGGAAGATGGATGGGGGCATAACGTGGCCATCACTTCGTAATCACCATTAGAATCATCCAACTATTTACGAATCCTATGTACTGTCCTCAGATTGTCACCCTAAAATGTATTGAAGCTTCCGTTGCGATTGCCAAGGACTACAGCATGGCTGTTTAAATTTCTGGCGGAGTGAATTGCATCATAATGCTCTTTTTTCACATACAGCGCCCAATTATACTGTACAGGCGAAAATCAAAACACGAACAGTATTCTTGCAATAAATTAAGAAATATAAATTGAAGACAATTTACCCTATATATATATATATATATATATATATATATATTATAAATTTGATAATTTAAAAATATGGTTCCATCGCTACACAGTAATTACCATGTTTCAAAAACAGAAGCTAAATACTTTAAATTCAGTTGCAGAAATAAATTAAATTCCATAGTTCTGTTTCATTTTCAAGCGAATTTTCGAATAACTTATTTTTATAATTGTTGTGGGGCTCACCTCCTTTTGACATAAAATGGACTCGTCCAAAGTATACTTTATATTGACAGAGAGAATACCTGCTGTTGAGATAGGTGGAGATACGTTGAGTTATGTTGAGACATACGGAGACAGACACAGGGTGTTCACACAGATATATATATATATATATATATATATATATATATATATATGATTACGGCTTTACTTACTGAGACTTGGACATATACTTTCTATTAACCCGCATTCCTGGACTACTAATCTTCACTTCAAGTCTGTATTCTTACGTTTAATACACTTATTTTTCTATCTCAATTACTGACGTGGGTTTATTTATTTGTACAGGATTCAATTCACGGAATCCACAACAATAATCTTACTGTTCTTTCTCTTTATTATTTTATTATTATTATTATTATATATATATATATATATATATATATATATATATATATATATCAACATACAACGTGTATTAGCACGTGCGATACCTTGCTTTGTCTTCATCAGCCGCCGACCAGTGGAGATATCACGGTTTCGGTGGCTATGGCGAGACCGCCACCCCAAAAAAAATTAAGCAGCGTTTGCCACCAGGCAGGGTATGAAGATGAGCTAACTAATTGTTCCTTTAAGTAAAATCTATCTGTAATGAAAGTTTCTTGAACGCGTTTGCCGTTATTGACGCGCCCGTAAAAGTCGTTATAGACGACCTTTACATATGTATATATATATATATATATATATATATATATATATATATGTATGTGTGTGTGTGTGTGTGTGTGTGTGTGTGTGTGTGTGTGTGTGGGTGTATATGTATATTTATAAACGTTATTTTTAATGGTTACTCATATTTAAATGGTCTATGTTTATTATTAACTTTGGCTTGTGTAATAATGTCTCTTCTTTTTTTTTTCCAGAGAATACAGTATTAGTATCACGCTACTTTCATTTATGAACAATAGTTGACTGATGTTTTGCAATGAAAGTTCGGGAAATTAAGGAAAGTGGTGAATTTCAACAAGGGCAAATAATAAGATTGCATCAATGTTGCAAGTCAAATACAGAAATTGCTCGGTTTATCCAGGTTAATCATCAGCAATGCTCAAGAAGTGATGAAGAGGGAAGTCATCAGAAACCGTCGTCAGAGCTTCAAAGATATCGCCAACATCATAGAAATGTCACAATATGCGATGAGAAAGACTCTGAAAGAGCTAGGCTATCAAACAAGAGTTCCAAGAAAGAAGTCCTTGATTTCAGAGGTTATCAGGTACAGGCGTATGGAGAGTCAAAGATATCGCCAACAGCATAGAAATGTCACCATATGCGATGAGAAAGACTCTGAATAGGCTAGGCTATCAAAAAAGAGTTACAAGAAAAAAGCCCTTGATTTCAGAGGTTATCAGGTACAGGCGTATGGAGAGTCAGATATCGCCAACAGCATAGAAATGTCACCATATGCGATGAGAAAGACTCTGAATAGGCTAGGCTATCAAACAAGAGTTCCAAGAAAGAAGTCCTTGATTTCAGAGGTTATCAGGTACAGGCGTATGGAGCGTCAAAGATATCGCCAACAGCATAGAAATGTCACCATATGCGATGAGAAAGACTCTGAAAGGGCTAGGCTATCAAAAAAGAGTTACAAGAAAAAAGCCCTTGATTTCAGAGGTTATCAGGTACAGGCGTATGGAGAGTCAGATATCGCCAACAGCATAGAAATGTCACCATATGCGATGAGAAAGACTCTGAATAGGCTAGGCTATCAAACAAGAGTTCCAAGAAAGAAGTCCTTGATTTCAGAGGTTATCAGGTACAGGCGTATGGAGCGTCAAAGATATCGCCAACAGCATAGAAATGTCACCATATGCGATGAGAAAGACTCTGAAAGGGCTAGGCTATCAAAAGAGTTACAAGAAAAAAGCCCTTGATTTCAGAGGTTATCAGGTACAGGCGTATGGAAGTCAGATATCGCCAACAGCATAGAAATGTCACCATATGCGATGAGAAAGACTCTGAATAGGCTAGGCTATCAAACAAGAGTTCAAGAAAGAAGTCCTTGATTTCAGAGTTTATCAGGTACAGGCGTATGGAGCGTCAAAGATATCATAACAGCATAGAAATGTCACCATATGCGATGAGAAAGACTCTGAAAGGGCTAGGCTATCAAAAAAGAGTTACAAGAAAAAAGCCCTTGATTTCAGAGGTTATCAGGGTACAGGCGTATGGAAAGTCAGATATCGCCAACAGCATAGAAATGTCACCATATGCGATGAGAAAGACTCTGAATAGGCTAGGCTATCAAACAAGAGTTCAAGAAAGAAGTCCTTGATTTCAGAGGTTATCAGGTACAGGCGTATGGAGCGTCAAAGATATCGCCAACAGCATAGAAATGTCACCATATGCGATGAAAAGACTCTGAAAGGGCTGGGCTATCAAAAAGAGTTAAAAAGCCCTTGATTTCAAGAGGTTATCAGGTACAGGCGTATGGAGAGTCAGATATCGCCAACAGCATAGAAATGTCACCATATGCGATGAGAAAGACTCTGAATGTCCATAGGCTATCAAACAAGAGTTCCAAGAAAGAAATCCTTGATTTCAGAGGTTATCAGGTACAGGCGTATGGAGCGTCAAAGATATCGCCAACAGCATAGAAATGTCACCATATGCGATGAGAAAGACTCTGAAGAAAGGGCTAGGCTATCAAAAAAAGAGTTACAGACAAAAAAGCCCTTGATTTCAAGGTTATCAGGTACAGGCGTATGGAGAGTCAAAGATATCGCCAACAGCATAGAAATGTCACCATAAGAAAGACTCTGAAAGGGCTGGGCTATCAAACAAGAGTTCAAGAAAGAAGTCCTTGATTTCAGAGGTTATCAGGTACAGGCGTATGGAGCGTCAAAGATATCGCCAACAGCATAGAAATGTCACCATATGCGATGAGAAAGACTCTGAAAGGGCTAGGCTATCAAAAAAGAGTTACAAGAAAAAAGCCCTTGATTTCAGAGGTTATCAGGTACAGGCGTATGGAGAGTCAAAGATATCGCCAACAGCATAGAAATGTCACCATATGCGATGAGAAAGACTCTGAATAGGCTAGGCTATCAAACAAGAGTTCCAAGAAAGAAGTCCTTGATTTAAGAGGTTATCTGGTACAGGCGTATGGACCGGGCGAGAGAATTCAAGAGCAAAGATTATAAATTTTGGCAGTCTGTAATTTGTTCAGAATGAAAGTAAATTCTGCCAATATTTGATTTCAAGACATGTGTATGTTTGAAGAAATAAGGATGAGTCTTAGAAAACTGAATGTCTGCAGGCGACCGTGAAACATGAAGAAATTTGAGTAATGGTGTGGCGGGCTGTCTGGTTTGGAGGAAAATCTGAGCTGATTTTTTTAAGGAGCAGTTGAATTTTCCAAAATACTGTCAAATATTCGAAAAAGGACTACTCCCATAATTTGAAACCAATCATATTGACAAGAAGTCTACCTTTTTCAAGAAGGTGAAGCACCATGTAATATAAGCAAAGCAGCAAAGTCCTGGAAGGAATCACAAAGTATCAAGTCATTGCTGTGGGTAGCCCAAAATCCTGACATGAATTCAATACAGAACGTTTGGAAGCACCTTGATACGAAGACTTCGAGAGCGTGCAACCAAAATCAATTCAGTGGTAACCCTTAAAGAAACATTGCAAAATATGAATCAGGCGATTGTAGATAACTTGATCAAATCCTTGACAAATTGAATGCAAACAATGAAACTTACAAATGGAATACCTACTCTATACTAGTTCCAAATACTCTTTATTTATATTGAGTCGGAATTACGTAAGTAAATTTTAAAAGTGGATATAGTTTATTTCTCCTGGGTAAAAACAAGGGAGCTAAATAAGCTACTGTAATGACTAAATATTTAAAAAAGAAAAGAAAAGAAAAACACTATTTAAAAGTATTAGTTAAAATCTAGATATTTAAACTATCTACTGAAAACATTTTAAAACATTTGTGCAGTATTCATAATTAATTTTATTAAGTGTTGGTTTCAATATTTTAATATAGACAGCTTCAAGAATTTTTAGTTTATGTTTATTATTTTCATGAAAAACATATATATATTCTCAACCAAAAATTTCCTCAATTGAGAATGTGGACAGGTATGCTGCTATATATATATATATATATATATATATATATATATATATATATATATATGTGTTTCTCAGAGTTTGATGGAACACTGATCTATATATATAATATTTTACTCTTCGTCGATATGGGGATGCTTTTATATGCAGCGTGTTTTCATCATATCTCAAGAGACACTTGTTTATTTGTATAGAGCATCACACCCGCCATTTGACGTCATTTACTAGGGTCCGTTATTTCCAGCAAATATTTTTGCCTATGTGCTTTTCGCACACATATGCACGCACACATACAGAGGTAAAGAAAAACTTATACCCTTGTTCTCGCTTTCTCTTCTCTCCCTGTCTCTCTCTCTTTTTCTCTCTCTCATATATATATATATATATATATATATATATATATATTCTTCTTTTTGTTATGGTTATTTTAGCACTTTACACCGGTAAATATTCTTCATTGATCATTGTCTTATACCCAAGTTTCGAATTGCATGTTTTTGCGTCTTGCCTCTTGCTGACTCAAGTTCCGTTTTCGTTTCGTTTTCCATATGTTTTTGTTTTTATATTGCCTATCTCTTCGACTTCGTTTTGTTTCTTTTTCATTCTTTTCTTTTATTGTATGAACGACGATATTTATCAATAAAATGACCTGTCCCTGCCGCCGGGACTGTTTTATTTTTTTAACAATTGTCCGCGATACAAAGCGTCCATCTTTAGCGGGAATAACATTTGAGAATGACAACCGCCAATAGTCTCTCTTCGAAGGGAAATAAGTATGAACGAAAGAAAACCCCAGAAGCTATTGGAAGACATTTTGAAGATAATCGTTAGGGAGATGGTGAATGCAAGCCGTATTTTGTTTAACATCAATGCTTTTATTTCTGTTTCATTACTTTCATTATTTCATTCTTGTTTTGCTTCCTGAGTTTTTCGTTCCTTTCTTTTTTTTCATGATTCCATCTTTTTTCTTCTTTCCTGATTGTTTATTTGTTTTCTTTTCGCATTGCCTTCTTTTCTCGTTTTAGTTTGTTTTCTTTTCCTATTGTTTCATTCATACTTCGTTTATTCATTTATTTTAGATTGCTTTATTTTCACGTAACTCATTTCTTTTTTTTTTACCTTTTTTCTTTCCTTCTTTCATTTTTTCGTCGTTTAATTTCACACTTCTGATCTTCTTGTAAGGTATTTATTCTTTCTTTCTTTTATTTTTTTTGCAATTTCTATTTCTCTCTTTCTTTTTCGTTTCGTTAATTCTTTCATTCTTTCTTTAATATAGATGGTCTTATTTTCTCATAGCACATTCGTACTTTCTTTAATTTCTCAATTCTTTCTTTTCCTCTAATGTATTTCATCTTTCTTTCTTTTTTACATTTACTATCTTTTTCTTTCTATCCCTTTTCTCTTTTTCTTTTGTTTTTCATTTTATTTTTCTTTCTTTTTCATATTTACTATCTCTTTTTTCTTTCGCTTTTTCTTTCAATTTTCATTTATCTTTCGTTCATTTACTACCTCTATTTTTCTTTTATAAGCTTTTTCTTTCACTTTTCATTTTTCCTTTCTTTCGTTTCACTTCTTTCTTTCATTATCGACTTCTTATTTTCTCGTAACACATCCATATATTCTTTATTCTTGTTTAATTTCCCTTTTATTTTCTTGTAATGCATTTCTTCTTCCTTTCTTTCTTATATTTTCCATCTCTATGTCTTTCTTTCTTTTTTCTTCTTTCTTCTTCATTATATATTTCTATATTTTCGTTCCTCTTTTGTACATACCTTCCTTCGCTGTCTTTTAATACATTTATCTTTCTAGCTTTCTCTATTTCTTTCTTTATTACGTCCTGTATCGCTCTTTCTTTCTTTCTTTCTTTCTTTTCTTTCTTTCTTTCTTTCTTCCCAAACCCATATTTTTCGGTTATACATTTTCTTAAATTCTTCTGTGAATATTTGGTGGAAATATTATGTAATTTTTGTTCAGCAAGAAATATGACTCCCCTCCAATAGAGCTTTCAGTATTACGCTATCCTTGCTACCTAACTGAACTAAGACGATATTAAAAAAATAAGTAACCGAAAAGAAATGCAATTTGAACGTCATATTCTGAATATATAAAACAGAAAATGCCATTTTTTGTGTAAACAAACTGCATCTGAAAGAAGAAAAATACAAATGGATGTAAAAAAAAATAAATACTTCTGTCGAAGTTTGAAAAGAACTCACATTTCGTTTTAAGACTGAATATATATTAATTATTTAAAGTTATTATGTAACCCATATAAACCTCATTAACTCGAATTTGCATTAAAATATTTTTGTCAAACTTTAAATGGTTAATTTACACGTCAAAATAAAACTTATGTGGTAGTTTCGATATGTTTTATCAAAATCGTTCAAATTGTTATATAAAAACTTCAGTCTGAAGTTATTACTCAAAAGTAGAAAATCATTTTTTTATTTTAATATAAAGTTAGGAAAACCATCAACAGATGGCCAAAACCTAGAATACAATAAATAAAAAAATATATATATATTATAAGTCTTTGAAGCATTTGCATCTTAATGTAATGACACTTAATAACAGTCAACTTTCTATTACCCACTGATTTCGTTAAATTTCTCACTTCAGCAAGTCAGTTTTTAACATACCAGTTTTAACTGTTTCCCATAGGTCTGTTTTGTTCTCATATTGTTTGGCACCTTCATATATTTCCATCTTCATAACTGACCATAGATTTTCGAGAGGATTCAGAACGTGATTTGATGGCGGTAATTCAATTATCTTTTTCTGTGAACCTTTTAATATCAGGAAGCTCACGGGCAGTTTAAGAAGGAACATTGTTGTGTATAAAAACACATTTCACTTTAAGATTATGAGGCTGGGAATTGTACTATTCAAGGGAAATCTAGTCCATAAAATCGCAAGAGTTAGCACTGTACCGATTGAACTCTTTATCGAATTTGAAGGACCCAGTGGTGGTTTGGTCGACAATTCCAGCCCATATCATCACACGACCGTTTTGTTGCTGCCTAACGTTAGCCACAGACACATCTGTAATTGATTAATAATTGATCAACATCTATAACAGAGCAAATAAAAAACATGTCATGGAATAATGGATAGCGGCTCGGGTTGAGAAATCGGAGAGCCGAGTTCGAATTCCAGTTGAATCCATTACATTCACTTACGTACTTATAACTTCGGGAAAGGTATGAATCCTCTTATTCTACCTCCAGCTATGGATAAATAGCAGCACAGACCGGGTTCTATAGTCTTGGATCCCAACTGGTCTACCGCAGAAAGAAATGGCAACCTACTGCGGGTAAAATCTGCCTCGTCAGTCATGTATCGACGGTTCATGATCGCCTAAGCGTGAATCACGCATGGCACATAACTGACTTAAGTTTTTTTAACTTTTCATGTCTTAACTGCTAACAATCTAGTATCCGCTGATTATGCTAAGATAAATTTCCGATATGGTGGTTTTAATTACTTCACAGTAGGCTTGCTTCACTGTCATATTACTTGTCATCTTCATATTATTTCATCTTCACAATTTGTATGAATATGTCCCGGTTGCGCGAGTGTGTGTCTGCTGGGCAGTAAGAGTGGAAGCAACGCTTGAATTAAATGTTGAACAATTTTTACTGTTGGTTGAAAAGTGAGAGTGAAAAACTCAGGTATTATTCGGGAAGAAAATAATTGGTTTTTGCAGTTAACAATGTTGTTCCATTGAATAGTCGTTTTTAGAGAGATTAATCCGCTAGTTCTGCCGGAAGAAACGAGAAGTCTATGTGTCAAACAGCAAGGATTGTTACGTGTCTTCTGCAGCAAGGGTTGTGTGTAGTTTTTCATTTGTGTAGGTCTCTCGAACGGGTATTTCTCCATTTGTTCCCAGTTGAGGAACTAGAAATTTGAGTGTGAAACTGCTAGGACTGTTACGCGTCTTTACTGCAAGGATTGTGTATAGTTGTGTATATTATATATATATATATATATATATATATATATATATCAATGTGTGTGTGTGTGTAGTGTGTGTTTTGTGTAAAATTTATAGAAAATTGGAAATTTTCGTTAAATAGGTAAATAATGCAAAAAGATCTTTAGTATTTTTGTTATTATTTTTTTTTTTAAATAGTGCTCAATAGAAGTAGAGAATTAATATTATTTATTTAAAAATATTCATTCCTTTCTTATGTATTAGCTGGAATCATATTAAATATATATATATATATATATATATATATATATATATATATATATATATTTCTGAATATATATATTATATATATATAAATATATATATATATATATATATATATATATATATATATATATATTATATATATATATATATATATATATATAGAGAGAGAGAGAGATAGATAGATAGATAGATAGATAGATATGTATAAATATACATATATTTTGGATTAGTGCATGATTACCAGGTTTTTTTAAACAATATTCATTATCAAAAAAGAAACATAATTCAAGAGAAACCTTTCCAAATGATAATTCCGGAGCGTATGATTATCGACACGCATTTTTATAAGCTTAAAACAAAACAATATTTTTATAAAAATAGTATGCAAACACAAAACAGCAATTTTATTAACAAAAACATCTCCAAAAACACCTGATAATTATGGCAACACAATGCATGCATGTGTGTGTGTGTATATATATATATATATATATATATATATATATATATATGTGAAAAATATATATATGTGAAAAATATATAATAAATAGGAATGAACTCTTATGTGGTGTGTTGGTTTCTTATTTTTTAAATAAATAATTATATATATATATATATATATATATATATATATATATATATATATAAGAATTCTGAAAAAAATCTATATATAAAAATTTGATGGGTAAATTTGCCATTTTTATGCACAGTATAGAGATGTCAGTTGGGTACCGTCTGTGTGAAGAAGAGTACCTTGCCGCCATTCACTCTACTTTAGTATTTCAAGATATTTTTTGTGTTATTTTGGTAAATATGTCTGTTAAAATGAGATGTCGATGTTAATTTCAAAAAAAAAATACAAATTTAATCACCCTGTATCTATCTATCTATCTATATATATATATATATATATATATATATATATATATATATTATATATATATATATATATAAATGTAAATGAATGAAATTCTACAAATATTTAATATAAATTGTGTTTCAAAAAATTTGTTATCATTTCGCAATCTAATAACTTTGTTAGATCTCCTTCAAATGACTTCAAATTTTAATAGCATCTTTATGTTTAATGTTTGTTTTATGTTTTTATGTCTTTATGTTTTTGTGTTTTTCTTATTTGTATTTTTATGTTCTTTAATCTTTAATCTTTTTCTTTCCAGGTATAAAAATGCCGTGTCTCAGGCGGTGCGCATTTGTGACATCGTTCACATAATCCACATGCTTTTGAATTTCTCATTCAGATTTGGAAGAATAAATCTTATGATCTTCAACATTAATACTTTTTTAATTTCATTTGCCTTAATCATGTACTTTCTGTGATATTGACATCTCAAAGGATATCAAATTTTTTGAAACACCCTGTATATTCTGTATATATATTATTTTTTATGCATACACTTATTTGAGTAAATGTTCTGTTTTTTTTTAATTAAGAAGTATTGATTACATTTGCCGGCCTGAATAATCGCCAAATCTCGTAGAAAATTTGCGTCCAATGGCAGGAATCGAACCTTTATCCTACACAGCGGATATATTTATATATATATATATATATATATATATATATATATATATATATATATATATATATATATATATATATGACACTTGTCTCCCTGACGATAGCATTGCTAGTTTTTTTCAGCAACTTACATTATAGGCATAAGTAGGTGCCTGTCTTTTGGTCTTGCTTTTACTTTCCTGTTGATGTTTCTTTTTCATTTTGTACAGTATTTTTTTAATGGCTGCTGCTTTTCATTTTATATTCATGTGTGGTTTCAGGTGTTGTCGTTTGTCAGACGTGATGTTTGTGGACTGGCAGGTTTTACAGTTCTTTTGCTTTGTTTTATGCATGTATAGATACATACATACATACATACATACATACATACATACATATATATATATATATATATATATATATATATATATATATATATGTAAAATTTCTGATAAGTACATGTAAGCTTTCCAATGGTTTTGGCGTTTATCCTATAGTGACCAGGAATAGCCACATTAATGAAATGCATTTTTTTTTTTTTTTCAACGACAAAAATATCTGGTTTGGTCACATCAGTGGTGGAGTCTGACGGTTGAAATTCCATAAGATCAGTTGACATAAAAAACGGCTGGATTTTCATTGTTCATTTGTAAACTTTTCTCTGTATAAATATCATCTGAGAAATCCTAGTTGAAGATGGTACCATTTCAGTTTTAAGATGATTAAAAGCCCAAACAATTTCTACTCATCTCAGAAAAACACGGCATGGAAGACCACATCATCAGTGGAAGAAAAATTAAATAGTTAACATGAAAAAAATAGACAAGAATTAGAGACAATGTTGAAGGTGAATAAATAAAGATGAGGACAACAGTCCGAATGTAAACAAAATGAAATAACAGATGTTGAAGTGAATAGATGTGAAGACAAAGAAGAATAAATAGTTACATCATAGAGAAATAAAAGACAAAAGACAACAGTCCGAACAATGTAAATGTAAAATAGTCCGAACAAGAATTATCTCATCTCAGAAATAGAGACAGATGTTGAAGGTGAATATGTAATAAAGATGAGGACAACAGTAATGAATAATGTAACAGAACAGATGTTAAATAGTTACAATACCTCATCTCAGAAATAGAGACAGATGTTGAAGGATGAATATGGTAATGAAAAGATGAAGACAACAGTCCGAACAATGTAAATAGTGTAAATAGTTACAATACCTCATCTCAGAAATAGACACAATGTGAGACAACAGTCCGAACAATTAAGGTGAATATATAGAGACAGATGTTGAAGGTGAAAGATGAGGAAACAGTGAACAATAAATAAATGTAAAATAGTTACAATACCTCATCTAGAAATAGAGACAGATGTCAGAAATAGTAGAAGGTGAATGAATGGCAATAAAGATGAAAATAGTTACATCATTTCATCAGAAATAGAGTTGAAGGTGAAAAAAATAAAAACAACAGTCTGAACAATAAATAGTTAAATAGTTACAATCATCTCAGAATTAGAGACAGATGTTGAAGGTGAATATGGCAATAAAGATGAGGACAACAGTCAGAACAATGTAAATAGTGTAAAATAATTAAGTCATAACAGAATTCATCTCAGAAAGTTAGAGACAGATGTTGAAGGTGAATATGACAATAAAGATGAGGACAAGAGTCCGAACAATCTCAGAAAAAGAGACAGAAATAGTGAAATATGGCAATGGAGAAAGACAACAGTCCGAACAATGTAAATAGTTTTCTGAGAAATAGAGACAGATGTTGAAGGTGAGAATATGTTTTTAAAGATGAGGACAAAAAGTCCGAACAATGTAAATAGTGTAAATAGTTACAATACCTCATCTGAGAAATAGAGACAGATGTTGAAGGTGAATATGATAACAAAGATACAAAGGACAAGAGTTAAAAAACAATTTAAATAGTGTAAATAGTTGGTGAACAATAAAGATGAGGACAAAAGTCTCATTTCAGAAAGAGAGACAGATGTTGAAGGTGAATATGGCAATAAAGATGAGGACAACAGTCCGAACAATGTAAATAGTGTAAATAGTTACAATACCTCATCTCAGAAATAGAGACAGATGTTGAAGGTGAATATGGCAATAAAGATGAGGACAACAGTTCGAACAATGTAAATAGTGTAAATAGTTACAATACCTCATCTCAGAAATAGAGACAGATGTTGAAGGTGAATATGGCAATAAAGATGAGGACAACAGTCCGAACAATGTAAATAGTGTAAATAGTTACAATACCTCATCACAGAAATAGAGACAGATGTTTAAGGTGAATATGGCAATAAAGATGAGGACAACCGTCCGAACAATTTAAATAGTGTAAATAATTACAATAACTTATCTCAGAAATAGAGACAGATGTTGAAGGTGAATATGGCAATAAAGATGAGGACAACAGTCCGAACAATGTAAATAGTGTAAATAGTTACAATACCTCATCACAGAAATAGAGACAGATGTTTAAGGTGAATATGGAACTAATAAAGATGAGGACAACCGTCCGAACAATTTAAATAGTGTAAATAGTTTTTTTTTTCATCAAAAGAAATAGAGACAGATGTTGAAGGTGTATATGCCTGTAGATGGATCGTAACAAGTTCTAACATTTCAGACACGACTTGACCTGAGATCAACATGAATTAAGACGTCCTTACGCACAACTCAGTACATATAACCGTGTCTGGGTGGTGTTCATACCAATTTCTTGCAGTTTCCTTTCCCTAAAAATTGCAGATTTACAATTGCAGATATTGATCCAATCTGTCATGCTGGTGTTTATTTTTAGTGGGTGCCAATACCATATAATCTGATACAAGACGGTCGGATGTTTCTGGATATTTATCACATAATCGATTATCATCATTTGTGTATGTTATGTTTCCTTTGTATCCTCTAGATCCGAGTACAAACTATAATCCTTAGGCCCTACAGGAGAACTGCCATTTAGCTAATAGAACATTTCTTTGTATATAGGATGTACTTAATAAATCGGTATTCTGAGAAACTTATTTGTAGAATTTTCTATTCTTTTTCTCACGAGGCCCAGTGCTCCAATTATTATTAGTACTGTCTTAGTCTTCATTTCCCACATCCTGTAAATTCGATCTCCTTGTACTTGGACAATATCTAGATAATTTTCATAGAAATGTGTCTCTCCGGTGGTATTACTATCTTCAGGACGTTGTCGACCATGGCTCTCCACAATTTCTAGCTCCTTTTTTACCCCCTAAACCCTGTTCTTCTAACCACTTTCTTAAACACGTCTTGTGGTTTATGCGTCGTTTTCCTCTGCGCTTTTTGTCCTTAATTTGTTCTATGAGTATCAAATTTTCCAAACCCTCTTTCCTCATAGTGTGCCCTACAAATTTCATCGGTCCCGTTTTGATGTCAATTATAAATATCCGTTTACTTTCCACTTTTTTTAAAACATGGTCGTCAGTCACATATTCAATCCCTGGTGTTCTCAGAATACTTCTGTAGAACCATAATTCTGTTGCTACAATTCTCTTCCTTTTCTGTGAGGAGATTGTTCAGCATTCACTGACATATAAGATCAATATTACGTAACAGTTCATCGTTCGTTTCTTTGGTTCTGAACAATTTTTTTCTGTTTCTTAATACCTTTACTTGGTGCTATTTCAATGCTACTTCGGATTTCGGTGTCAGTTATTTCGATTTTCCTGCTTGATCGTTTTTGGTGTTCCCAATGTGTAGTTTTCGTTTCACAAGTTGGAAAATTAGTTATGGCGAAATCTTTTGATATAACTATTCAGTCTCTGATGTTCTTCTCCGTGGCATTCCTGTGTCTAAATCTAATCGGCCTTCCCAGCAAAAAAAACCAAAAAAAAACCCCAAAATGTCTATTTTAATACCGACTCTCTTCCGCAATGCAATAAACAGGAAGGATTTTCAGAATCGTCGTTTTTACTTGTCAAGCTCGATCGCAAAAAAATGTTTATAAAGAACATCTATAAAAAAAAAAAAAAGGAACTCATGTCTAATATGATTTATATTAGACATTCTAGACTAGCACTGACATTTCCCTAACAGGATGAAATGTGTTGATTCGATGCTCGAGATATAAATCAGTTTTCCTTGAGATGTCTGTGAGAATGTGGAAACGTGTTTGGCAATTTTTGGTATCATAATATTCCATTCATGAAATTTATAAAAGACATTATTAAACAGTAGACACCAGTAACGAAAATGCAGCAACAACAAATGAAAAAAAAAACAACATTTTTTTTTATTTAACCAGCGGCTGTAAACATCCAGGGATATTTTATTTTATCTTTTTTTTTTTTTTTTTTTATGTTTTTTTTTTTTTTTTTTTTTTTTTTGTTAGAGAATGTTCAAAAATGAAAGATAAAGACGAGTATTCTGACACCAAGGAAGATACATAAAAAAGCTTCCAGGCATGACGAGGGTGTTTCTTTTGTGTTCCAGAAATAATTTTTCTTTTTATCTAAATTTTTTTTTTTTTTCTCTCTTTTCTATTTTTATAATTTGCTAAAATATCTTTCTTCATTCTTTCTTTGATATGCCTGCTTTGGTGAGACGGGTTTCCCATAGGGTCCCTTCTGTCTTACTTATTTTTTCTTCTTCCTTCAGTTAATTCTCCCTTTTTTTCATTTCAGTTAAACTATTCACATTTAATCTTGTCCCATTTTTATCTTGCCATATTTTTAGTTTTTCTTTCTTGTTTTCATTCTTTCTTTCTTTCTTTCTTTCTTCGATTCATATTTTTAGTTGCCTATTTTTCTTTCTTTCTTCCTTTCATCAATCTATATTTTGTTCAAATTTTCTTCGTTTTTCTTTTTTTGAAGATTTTTTCTTTCTTTTTTTTTCTTTTCTTTTTCTTTCTTTTTATAAGAATAATTTTAGTCAATGGATTCATTTTTATTTTGTTCGTTTATCCTATCTTTCGTTTTGCTTACCTTTCTTCCGTTTTCCTCCTTTCTTTCGTTTTTTCCTTCTTTTTTTTTCTTTCTTTTTCTTTTCTAATCTTTTTTTCATTTCCTTCCTTCTGTCGTTTTTCCTTCTATCTTTCGTTTTCCTTATCTTTTTTTTTCCATTTTCCATCTTTCGTTCGTTTTTTCTTTCTTTCGTTTTTCCTTCTTACTTTTCTTTTTCTTTCTTTTGTTTGTTTGTTTCTTTCTTTCTTCTTTCTTCAGTTTTTTCTTTCTTTCGTTTTTTCTTTCTTTCGTTTTTTTTTTCTTTTTATCGATTTTTCGTTCCTTTCATCTTTCGTTCTTTCATTCTATCTTTCTTTATTAAACTCTTTCTTTTGAAAATTTCTTGAAATTGAGGAAAATTTATAAGAATTATATTTTTTTTTAATTCCTTTATAAGTTTTTTTATTTTTATTTTAGTCTCTACTTTAGATTTTTATTTTGGTTTTGATTATTTCATACAACTTTATATTGTTAGAACTCTATTCTTTTTATTTTTTTTTTTTTCAAATTATATTTTTTCTTTATTTTTTTCTTGATTCTTTTATGATTTTTTGTTAGCCTTCTATTTTTTTTTTTTTTTTTTTCTTTCTTTCTTCTTCGCTTAGATTTCCAGAATTTTTCTTTCTTTCTTTTTTCTTTCTTTTTTCGCTCTTTCTTTTTTCATTTCCCCAAAATTTCTTTTTCTTTTAGAACCCTTTCTTTCTTTCACCCTTTTCTATATTTTAGGTTCTATTTTTTCTTTTTTATTTGTCTTCTTTTAGCATCTTACTTTTCATCTCATCTTCTGTTTATAAAAAATATCGACCCTTCTTTATTTCTAAATTTATTTTCATTGTTTTGCAACTGACATTTCAAAATCTAAATAGACAATCTTTTTCGGATTAAAACCCTTCCCAGTCATATTCACATTAATGAAAAAAATTGTTTTATGCTCAATATATGCATTTTATATGATAATGAATTCATTAAAAAACTATATAGTTTGCATTGATAGATAGATAGATAGATAGATAGATAGATAGATCCCGTAATTAATTTTTCATAACATGCAAGTTTTTCCTGATTTTTAAGATTAACAATTGGGAGAAGTATTAAAAACGAAAAATTACATTTTAACTTTTTTATTTGGACACGTGAAAAATAACTTATATCTCCAATAAATATGTCATTTCAGGATTGTGATGGTCTAATGGAAATACTTCAGTAAGGAACCAACGCTGCATCAATAGTTCGAATCACAACATAGGATTTACTTCAGTTTTCAGTGTGTCATTTTTTAGTAAATACGTTGACGGGCGCGTAGTAGTTGAACATTTATTTAAGATGATTACAGATGATTGACTGATTAATTGTAAGCTTCATATCAATTGAATTAGCAAGAAAAGAAACTTTGTTGAAATATAAGTACTTACTAGGATAAATACATGCTCTTTAATTTTAGACTACAGATTTATTGATATCATAGCATATCTTTTTCAAAAATCATTTCACCCAAAGCAGATCGAAAAAAACCCCACTAAACCTCGAGGGATTATACAACGTGAAAGAAGTTTGCAGACATTAAAAGATTAGAATTCAAGAGATAACGATTGCATATAAATTCTCGAAAATCGTAGTTGGTTAAAAAGGAGGAAGCCTGAAGAGAGTTCCACAAGCGAGGAGTGGGAGAGAAGAAATCATTAGCCCAGAACATACGCTTATATTTACGGATTTCTTCTACAAATTGATGGGACCTAACTGCCAATCTTGTACTGCGCTCAAATTCGTGAAATCCAGATACCAAAGAGGAAAGCTCATCAGAAAAATTACTATGAAATAGTTTATAGAAAAGGCAGTGGGAAGTTACTTTCATTGAAGCCGAGATACTTTGTAAAGATGGGCAACAATGCAGTTTTTTCTTTGGATTTTGTCAGGAATCGCTTTTGAACTGTTGATAAAGATAGATCGTCATTTCCGAATGGAGTAACCATGTCAACATCAATGCCATTAGTGGCGAAACCTTTTTTCTGCAGGTATTTGATAAAACCCCGATGGCATGTTTGTCTATTTTCAGTACTAGTTATTTCTGAATTGTTTGAAGAATAAGATGCCAGTTTACCTGGAAAAAGAATTGAGTTATTAATAAGAAGACTTGAAATTAATGCATGCAAGATTTCACAGCTTTAGCAATACTCCGTCAGAGTTAACCTATGAACGTTTCAGGCCAACCTCATACCTTGAAAGAAACAATATTGTTATTAATAAAAAGAGTCGAAAATTAGTGCCTTGCAAGATTTCACAGCATTCGAGTAATTCCTTCATAGTAATTCTGTGGACGTTTCAGCCCGCCCTCGTACTTGGGAGGAAACAAGGTGGCTTTTGATAAGAAGAATTGAAATGAATGCACTCACGATTTCAGAAGACTAATTAGCAGCATGGCCCGGCGTTGCCCGTGCTTGATTCAAAAATTGTACGACTCATGCAGCAATCGTTATCACCTGACTTAAAATATTTTTCCCTTCCTTGCCTTTAAAGGGGTGCCCTTTGTTGTTCTGATGTTGCTATATGCCTTACTTCTTGCCTATCTCACACTGCGAATTTTTTCTAAGCTCTAAACTAAACATTAAATTTGTTACGAAAAAAGAACAAAACAAAATGAACACAAAACGATCAGCTTTAAAAAAGGACTCGTAACTGGAAAAACCGAATGAAAAAAGAATGTTAACAACCAATAATTTTTTCACACCCAACCCAGTTCTGCGGAATCAGAATCAACGTTGAGTTTAAGCAAGCGACTGAGCCAATTGGAGTAAAGTGCCATGCAGATTTAAATTTTTCCCACTTGTGACGAATGCAGCTATCGATTTTTTTGCATGCTAGCATGCTAGTTAACATTCGTGTCAGTCAGCTGTTGGCTCTCACGCTGGCCAATAGAATCTTCCTGCCTATTCGTGGCAGCCAGCTATAGGCTCTCACTCTGGCCAGTAGAAAATGGCCGCAAACTACATGAAAACTGCCGTAGAAGCATGAAAAATCGATTATTTCCACTATCGATGTGAGTTGGGAAATGCAAAGTCGGTCTTGGCCTTCCCGCTAACTTGGAGCATGTGCATGTAAATTTTGGTGCAAATCCATCGAAAATTGCGGCCGTGCATTCGTTACACACACACACACACACACACACACACACACACATACACATATACATACATATATATACACATAAACACAAACAATATTATTTGTTCAATAGTCATTATTAAGAACAGTTGTCATAAATGCATTTTTTTTTATGTTCGTCAATTTAGCATGTAATTATCTTTCATGGTGAATTTGATGTTAGAGCCCATCCTTGAAAATTCTTTAGGAAACTAAGGAATTTTAATAAGAAAGGCAAAATAAAAATGTAATCTGTGTTTCACAGCACTAGAAATACTAATCCTTTAAAAATTACCGGAATATTTTCTTTTAATGGAGTTTCAATTGGCATGAAACATGTTAAAAGTTAATTAAAGAGATCCTTTGAAAATAAATAAATATATATTATTTGATATAAACATATATAATCCGTTATAAATCAAATTTAACAATTTATGGGAAAAAAAAAAAACAAACTATTTTTAAAGAAGCATTTTTGATGTCAAAAGACACGTAATAACAGATTGTCTTAGAGCAGCAATTTTGAGCAATTAAATATTTTTCCAGCATAAACAACACAGTTGAATCAATATTTTTTATATCCAGAATATGAACCCGGATAAAATATTATATATAGTTTTTTTCTATTTATCAACACGTATAAAGAAATCGAGGGCTAGATGAAAAACTTTAAAAATTTGGAACTTTCGAATCCGATGAAAATTTTTTCACCATCCGTCGTTTTTTAAGTGAGTTCATGTTTTAAAAGGCTCCAAATTGATTTGATCGGATAAATCATTTCCCCAAATGAATATTTGATTCATTAGCTGGTTGTGGTTTGATCGTTCGTTTTCACGGTTTATCAAAATTTATAACCATTAACCATAAATTATTTTTAATTTCAGGATCAATGCTTTATATATCGGAACGTTGTTGGATTCACTACGTCGATGGAAGTTGAGTGAGAATTAAGACATAGAAAAAGAAAGAACTAAGCGAAGAAAGGAAACAATAACTGATTAAAACGTTTTGGAATGTTGAAATTTTAAAAAATATATAATATATATATATATAAATATATATATATATAAATATATATAGAAAAATAATAGAGATGAGCGTTTTTCAATAAAATGGATAGGAAGATGCATATATATATGTTTATATATATATAAATATATATTTTATTTTTGTCTTTAAATGATAATGAGAAATTTTCGCAATTGTAGATTTATATCAGAGGATCAGATATTTTTGTCGGATATCCATAGAATTTTCAATAAAAAATCAAAGAAAAAAAAAATAGATAGATAATTGTGCAAAGATAAATGAAATTTAATTTCCTTATATATATATATATAAAGATTATATATATATATTTATATATATATATATATAGATAATATATCAATATAAAAGGATAGATCGTCCTGGCATTAGATTAATGAAAAGATAGTTTATTTGAATATTATTCAAGGCAAACCAAAGTATATAGATAAGGAAACCTAGAAAAAAGCAAGTATTTATGAAAAGAACAATAGATTTTTCGTTTTAAAATATCTAAAAGAAAAATATTTATAAATTATATATATATATTTACTTACGTAAAATTTTGTAGGAACGACAAGAAATTAAATCGGATAAATTTTAATTAATTTTCCTTAAAATATTTTTATTTTTATATATATATATATTTGTTTTATATTGTTTATAGTTATTGTATGATATGTGGATCCGAATATTTTTAGTTTCCCAGAGTTTAGAAACATTAATAATTCCAAGAAATAAGAATGCATTGAATCTCACCATAGAGAAATTTGTTTTATTTTTGAATAATTCTTGATGTTTTATTGGACAATAATCGATTTATATTCTTTATATTTTCATTTTAGAAAATTTTGAATTCAACCAATTATATAGAATAAAATAAAAATCACATGACCGAGAACAAGTAAAAACAGATATATATTTGAAAATGGCTATCCACGAAGTCATAAAACCAATCAGTAAATGAGTTCAGATATTAAAAGTTCAGATAAAAAATAAATAATCGTCAAAAAACGAATATGATATTTTTAATAAATCTGATTAATTCATTGATATATAAGAAAATTAGGCACATCAGAATTTTCCAAGGCAATCAAATCGCCTATCAAAATCGTGTTGAATTCGTTACCGTTTCAATCATTTTTTCATTAATTTTTTTTTGCTTTTTTAGCATATGGACAATATATAAAATCTGGAACGAATAAGATCTATTGAAGAAGTTCAAATATTGAAAATATTGCCGAACAATAAAAACATTTAAAAATGATGCGTCATTCAGGAACCACTAATGAATTGTGGCAAACGGTGAATTTTGTAAAATTTCGCAATAAAGACGAGGTTTTTAAGATGAAGAATTCAATATCCTTTATTTGAAATTTTTGTTGAAAATAGAACATTTGAAATTTTTTTGAAGCCGAATTTATTCATTAACAATTTTACGAGAATTATATTGAACTATGAGGTCGATTTTAAGAATCAACATCGGGGAGAATTTAAAGCAAATAGTAAAGAATGGCAAAATTTAT